CCCCCCCAACACACACACAGAGACAGAGACGCTGCGTGCCCAAGATCACACCGAACAAACGAATGAATGGGAACGTTCAGAATCGCCTCCGCCGGATCAGACCGTGGAGCCTAGCAGTTTGTCACAGGCCAGAGGCGCCCTGTGGCGTACAGCGGCCGCAGCCCGCCAGCGGTACACTGCCTCTAATCATGGAGGCTCCATGCGGCGCCTCACGGCTCATATCCGCAGACAGACCTCGGAATATGTATTTAGGCTCTTCATTTTAAGAAGCACTTAGTCGAGTGGCTGTCTCCACACGGTTCTGCTAATGATGCACACTAAGAAATAAAGTCGGAATAAACTGCGCCACCAGGGTACCTGGAAATGTTCTCCCCTGTCGGCACTGGGTTCGAATCCCCGCACATACATTTTATACGTAGCCGGGGGAGGAGAAAGGTGAACCCGTGTTCCATTCCTGGTAGCGTCTTGCAAAAGAGTGGCTGAAAGGGGTTCAAGGGGTCGGCAACCTCTTGGTAGGATAGGACTATACCAGGAGCGGGATGAAGTAAGCAGAGGGAAAGGCGATCTGGTGTAAACGACAGAGGTCTTTGTTGGAGGGGGGGGAATCCATTGAAGTCGATAAGGTTACTCTAGAGTAAGTATTTTGAGGATCCTGACGCTGGACATTTGGAAAAGAGGAAGAAGCCCACAGCCCTCCCCCACTCTCTGGCAATGAATTGCATAAAATGTATAAGGAGGAGAAAATGGGTTTAAAGTTGTTGGGCCTTTAAAAAAAACAGGATGGTGTTGTTTTTTAAGTTAGACGGTCGATAAGAAAAAAGAGGAAGGAACATTTGTAGTACACGGCGGGGGGGAGCACCTAAATTATGATAGATCAACATTCTGAAATTTAAGAAGGAGACAACACTAAGCAAGACTGCGGGAGTTTTCCAGTTTAAATGGTCAAAATAAAGAATCTCGAGGAACTGACAACAGTGAAAAGAGCGAGGCAGAAATAGAGAGAGCCCCCCCCCCCCAAATAACACATCTCCCCTTTTTTAAAAAATAAGAGCCCTGCAAAGGATAGTTAGGGCATCTCAGAGTTTTCCCTTGCTGGAAAATCCAGCGAGGAAAGGAACAGCTAAACGGCTAGTAAAGGAAAGTTGAGCCGCACGTGGCGTCTGTGAGGTTTGGATTCGGGTTTTCTTTTTTTCTGTTTAAGATTTTTCAATTATTCTTTCAGGTTGGGAAAAGGGAAAACGCCACACAAGTTCCTCGCTGAGGACAGCCAAGAGGCAGAGATGTGGGGCGGTGGGAGAGGCTGAGGCCAGGCAGGGAGGCTTGCTCTCTTCCCCACCCCCCACCCCACCCCGCCGCCGCCGCCTTTCTCCGCAAATAGATGGCTGCCGAGCCAAGGGAGGGGTCCCGGAGGAGCAGCGAGGACGGCGAGGTGTCAAGTTTAAGCGCGGGGTGCAGAGCCCCTGCGCGGCTGCAAGGGCGGGAAGGCTCCCTTCCCAGGGTCTGCCGGGGGTGGGGGGCAGCGCTCCAAGCCTCCCGGGCCATTGACCAGAGAAGCGGCCGCCGCGGCAGGTACCCAGACACAGGCCCAAAGGCAGGGAGACGACTTCCCTCGAGAAGCGTCTCTTTCAGTAGGAGGAAACATGCGGCCCGATCCTGTGCGGGCTTACTCAGAAGTAACGCATTCAGTGGGACTTACTCCACAGTAACGTGGTGTCAGAGGTGCAGCTTCTTCCCACACTGAAATTGGGTGCAATTTTTTTTTTAAATGTGCAACCCTGTGCAAGCTTCCCGTGGAAGTTAATTGCAAATTGAACAGAGAAGGACTTGTTTTGGGGTAAAGGTACCAGTATCTCTGGATCTTGCCGGCTTTGCACATGGGGGCCGAGCCTGGGAAGGTCTACTCGGATGTAGGACACGTTCGTTTCCGTGGGCGTTTACTCCCAGTTGTGAACAGGATTAGGGTCAGTCCAATTTTTAACACCCACCACTAACACTCTTAACCTACATTCACACAAGTGAAGTGCTCTCTCTCCCCCTCCCCTGCTTTCCCGCTAGCTCAAAGTTGTGTTCACACACATTCTCATTGGAGGCTATTGTTAGGGATCTCTATGTAAATGCAGAGTTAATAAACGCAGCAGAACACTTGTATTAAATCCACACAGTCACAGCCTGAAGCAAACTGACTGTGTTCCACACAGGGTCCCTCCCATACCTGCCAGCTGCTATGTTACACACACACATCTATCTGAGGAAGTGAGGCTGGACTCCCCCCAAGTTTATCGTTTGGAAGTCTTGTTGGTCGTTAAGGCGTTGCTGGACTCCAATTTTGCTCTTCTATTGCAGACCAACCCGCTACCCATCTAAACATGGACCCATTCATTCTTTCTTTCTCTCTCACACACACACTTACACTTTCTGGCATATCCAGCCCAAACCTCTGGCTCATGCCCACCGCCACGCCCACTCAATCATTCCTTCCCTTAGGCACCCACTAACCCTGAGGGTGCAAGCATTTGCACGCTTACTCGCGAGTAAACCTCGCTGAATCCGGAGCACAGGATCGGGCTGTGATACACTGGGAGGCAGGCCAAAGCGCCCCACCCCCACCCCTTCACTTTCCGAGCTCATCCAAACGCTTCCTCTTTCCTACTTTCTCGCCTAAGGCCGATCTAGCCAGCCCTAAAGACTTCAGAAGCAAAGCCTCTCGCTTCCCGCTGGACTTGCTTCCCGGGTCCGAGGGCAGGAGCCGGGCTACCCGGCACGTGCACGTCTGCGCACGATCCTTCACACTCAGACGCGCACTTCCACTGTGCCGCTCTCTTTGGCGAAGGCACTCGCTCCTTCCACCACGCAGCTGCCTCGGTGCGTCCTCCCCTCTCACGCGCGCACACACTCGCACCTCCCGCAGCCAGATCCGATCGCGCTCAGAAGACGCGCGAGCTCGTCAAAAGTACTTTCTCACGACCAGTGCAGCGCGGGAGAAAGAGAGCCCGCGGCCCCAGGAAACTGCCAGAAGAGTTTTCTCGGCATCGACCTATCTCGGGAGAGGAAACGGAGCGCCTTGCCGGGACTGTAAGCGATGGGGCTTCTTACCACCACGCGGGATTGTCAATAATGACGTTAGCCGGGGGGGGGGGGACAAGGGAGGGGGCTGGAGGAACCCCCTTCCCGGCGGCGGCCACTTTCGCGGGGGGGCAAAGTGCAAAGGAACCGCCAGGAGTATTGGGGGGGGGGGTGCGGGAGAGAAACGAAGTTGGCCGTTGCAGTTCCAACCTTGCAACCGCCGTTCTTCTTCATAATTGCTTGGAGCAAGTCTGTGCCTGCTGGTTCAGAAGCGAGTCCCGCTCCGCTTGAGACAAGCGTGCGCAGAGCGACAGCAGGCTCTCGGCCGGCGCCTGCAGATCAAGAACCTGCTTCTGAGGTGCGGCTGTTGGGGGGGGGGTTAAGCCCCCTTGGAACTGGGCATGGGAGGGACTGACCGACTTCCAAGTAGACCCGCGCAGAATGCGCCCCTCGCCTACGCTGGGGAGCCAGCGGCGTTTTTTAATCGCCGGGGACGGACGTACTTCTGAGTCAAGAGGGACAGCCTGGCTGGCGTGCGCCCCGAGGCTAGGAATTAGGACCAAGAAGGCGTCGGACTGTGGAGGCTTTTCCCTGGAGTGGAAGCAGAGCGGCCGGCTGGCCAGTTTCCCCGGCGCGGCTCTGGCGCGCTCTCTCCAGCCGCATGCCAAGGGCTCCCCCTAGACTCCAGAGACGCTGGAGTCTTTCCGGGTTTCAGCTTGGAGGACCGGGTGGGGGTGGTTGTGTGTGTGTGGGGGGGGAAGTCTCCGAAAGGTGCAAAATCAGGTTTTTAAAATGAAAGGTGGGGCAGAAGAGGAGTTGCTGATTGCACAGGCCAGTGAAGTAACAATCCCCATAAAAGCTTACATATAGGTGACCTTACCAGGATAGCCCCCCCCCCACCCCACCCTCACCGCTTGCGCGCTCCCCAAGGGGAGAGGTGTCGGTTTGTGAAAAACGACACCCCGGTTGGATTTACCTTCCTGTTTGCGTGTGATTGTGTGTGCCCGCGCGCGTGCGTGCGTGTGCAGATAGATCAATTGATGGATGGATGGACAGATCGGGTGACAGAGACAAAGAAAAAGATTGCTGGCAAAACACGACGGAAGGAAGGGAGATAAGATGGGAAAGATTCTCGAATAGATACGGAACGTATAGGCGAGGGCTAAGCCCGATGAGAGAATGGAAAGAGATGGGTCCAGAGGTGGAGAAGAGACAGGCTGGCCAGGGTGATAAAAAAGGGTGGGGGTAGAGAGCGGGACGCCCTCGCGGAGAAGGTGCTGGGCGCAGGGGGGAGGGGAGGGGAGGGGAGGGGACGGGGAATGTGCCGGAGCCGAGAAGAGGGAGGGGACGGGGGCGCAGTCCTCGCGCTGGAGCGCCTTGACTTCGACGCCAGGTGGAAGTCACCTCCCAGGATAAGCAGCAGACTCCTCACCACGTCTGTCCAGAAGAAGGGGGCATGCGGGGCAGCAAAAGCGGAAACCCCCAAACATGCTTTCTGGGAAGAAAATCCTGGGGCTTCAATGGGGGGGTGGGGAGGTCCGGGACGGGCTGAGTTTGGGATTTCAGTCTCTGCTTGTTCGCATTGGATCCATTAGGACAGGAGGAAGGCGGGTTGGGGTAGCCAGCAGAACTGGCCAGAATACCCGAGAGGGAGAGAGACATAAAATGGCACACACCTCCGTGGCCTAAGAATGTCACTCACTCCTGTACCAAGGGGTGTGTGTGTGTGTGTGTGCCTAATAACAAGAAACCAGAAACTATACTTTTAGTGTGTATCTGGAATAGGGCTGTCTCAATAGGATCTTGTCGTCTCCAACATGCAGCCAGCCCAGTAGACACAAACACACATCTCTACACTTCGTCTGCCGTCCGGAGGGTTCTTCTCGGATACAGTTGGAACCTTGCTAGCAGGGGCAGATTAACCATTAAGCAGACTAAGCACGTGCTTAGGACACCAGGGCCAAAAGGGACACCACAAAGTTGGGAAAAGGGTGAAAAGCTTAGTTTGTACAGTATATTGTGTTATCATATGAATAAATTTTTGTATTGCTGCAACCTGCATTGTATATCTGGTCAGACAGGTCAACAACTAAAATGGACTGGGTCAGTGTGGAAAGGAGGAGGGCACCAAGATTGGTCCGTGTTTAGGGTACCAGTGAGCCTTAATCCGCCCCTGCTTGCTAGCAAAGAGGCCCTGCTACAGGCCCGATCCTGTGCACGTTTCCTCGGGAGTGCAACCCACTGTACTCTCCAGGATTTGTGCATAGGTCTGCAGCCTCAGGCGCAACTCGTCCCCCCCCCCCCCTAAAAACTGTTGGAACGCCACCCCGGCCCCCCCCCCCCCTAAAAACTGTCCGAAGAATCTGAGCCAGATCGGAGCGAGAGCCTTAGATGCTCACGGGGCAATCTTGAATCCGTCAGGCCTCTTCACTCATGTCTGCAGGTTTGCACAAGTGACTTTCACTCTCACTCTCTCTGTGTGTTTAAAGCTTAGAATAAACAAGGTCTACACCAAGCCGGGCGTTTTATTTCCCTGCCCTTTGTAACTTGAGGGAGAAGGTTGGAGGGAGACTTGGAGGAGGAGGAGGAAAGGGTTAATTGGCAAACAAAAAAGTCACTCGGCAATAATTTGGGCAGGAACCGCGATCTGATTCCGGCTGATAGCAAGGCACGAAGAGGCCCGGGGGGGGGGGGGCAGGCTCTGGGGCCCCGGGGGCGAGGAGGCAGTTTCTGATTTGGGACTCGATGCCCCGGGAAGTTGCAGGCGAGCAAGGCTTGTTGGGTGAATGGGGAACGCGCAAGCGCAGGAGAACTTCCCGGTAAACTGGCACCTTCGGAAGTCACGCGTGTAGCCAGCAACTACAATGCACCAGGAGAGGGAGCAGAGGAGACTTCCCAATAATGGCGCACACCCACCCGGAGGGAGAATGTGTATATTGGGGGGAGGGGGGTGTCCCCACACTCAACTGGGAAGAAGGCCTGCAGTGGGTGCGACTTCTGAGTAAAGAGGCAAAGGATCCGGCCCTACAGTGTGATAACAGCGGTGGTGGGTCTCCCTATATCTCTTCGTATGCCTCCAGCTGAAAACTACCTCTATATTATTTGACAATGCAAAATACCGGCAACAATGACGAGTAGTCCCGCTTGTCTATCTGCGCAGGCAGATGAAGGTGTGGCGTTGCATACAGAAGGGGGTTTCTAAACAGAGGGGCGAATGGGCAGGGAGCCATTTCCCATCCGCGGGTGCGCGCCCCCGCACGCCCACCTTGAACGTTAGAGCTGGGGAAATACGTGTGTTTTCAGAGCGTCTGTAAACAGGCATGAGGATATCCAGGATTGTGTGAACGGGAGCAACGCCTGAGACACAGCAAGGGAGGGTCTGAACAACCTTGCATTCCAGAGGCGATGTCTTTCTACACAGTCTTTCCCCGGGCGTGTACAAAAAGTGAAGCCCTTTTAAAGTCCCAGGTTCATTACTCTGGCGCTTGACTCAGCGGTCTTTACAGTTTAATCCCATCCATGTTTACTCAGAAGTAAATCCCACCGAGGTCATTGGGGTAGGCTTGCCTCGGATCGCGGCAGCTAGCTATTGGGGCTTCCTTGGCGTGTTCTATAGAAAAGTACCGGCATTTAGAGAATACTTCTAAGAGAAATGCACACGCCCAAAGTTTTCAGCCTGGAGGTCTCCTTCCCACCTGGGATTTCAGTGTCTCCCTCCCCTGGGTCTTGTGAATAAAGAATTATGGCCAAGTCCCCTTTAAGAAGCTAGCAGCCCACCTGGCTATTTCAAAGCGAATAATGGCGAGGTTGCAATGACTTCTTTTGACCAAACCGGGAGTGGGCAGGAAGTCCGAAGGAAATCAGTTGCAGACAGGATCGGCCTTCTTACTGCCATGCAGAGTTTCCTAGTCCGTGATCTGAAATACTCATACAGGCTTTAAAGCAAGAGAAGTGAGGGGATGTGTATGGACATATAGTTCGTTCCCAAAAAAAAATAACACCAGCCATGTCTGAAAAGGGAGATCTTCTCCTAAAGGTGTCAGTACTCACGTGGCCTGGAAAGTCATTCTTGATGTTCCGAGGTCGCTGGTGCCCCCCAACCCCCCCCCCCCCCCCCGCAAGCTTGGCTGCCTCTCCATTTCCTACCTATGCAGGGGAGGGGTTGGGGCACAATATTAGATCCTGTACTAGAGCCGTGCTGGACTGATAGGCAGAATGCAGGTTCAACAAAGCCAGATGTTCTCTGCTCCGTAGTGAACGCATGAAGTTGACTAACAGACTGGAAGCCAGAGCACTGATGCCTTCTTAGCTGGGAATTTTGTCTGCTCCGAATAGCAGCGCCACTCAGACAGCGTCGGCAGGGACAGAGACCAGGGTTGGGCGTCACGGTTCAGAACCCGAAACGCGACCTAAGGGAGCTTCTGGTTCAAAAAAATCTCACCATAGTCGGGGTAGGAATAGAGGAGCAGATCTGCAAGAAAATGTAATGGATTTTATCAGTGCAAAATGCAATCCTATGCAGAATTAGGCTGGCGAAACTGCACAGGATTCCATTGCGCTTGCTGTGGATCCTGGCCACACACACACACCCGCCCCAGAATCTTGAGACGCTGGAAGTGCTGTGCTTCTTTTGGCCAGCACCCACACAGCCCTCTTAGAACTACAGTTCCCAGCGCCCCCGCCCCCCAGAAAGTGGAATGTTTAATGTATGGATTGGTTCCATTTATTTCCTGCTTTTCTTCCTTGGAACTCGAGGTAGCCTACAACCGGTGATCTTGCAGATCAGACAAGGGCCTCCGATGGCCTTCCAGTGTTTTGTTCAGTGAAAACTTTCATTTCTATGTGTCTGAGGAAGTGCGCATGCACACCATAGCTCACACCTTGAATAGAATTTTGTTGGTCTTAAAGGTGCCACTGGACTCAAACTTTGTTCTAGTGTTCCCTTCAGAGATCCTAAACCAAATGAAGCCGGGATTATATCGTGGTTAAGGTACCAAGCCAGAGGCTGG